TGCTTTCTCTTCCTCCTGTGATTATGTGCACTGGGCCATTGTGTGTCCACACTCCAGAATTTATCACGGACTGGACTGGACACTTGGTGCCAGTGCCTAAAATAATTTCTGACGTGACCATTTGCTGAGAGGCACCCGACTCCTGGATTCAACCCGTTTTGCCCCTGGCTGTGGGATCCTAGTAAAAAACAGTGTTGATCCAATAAGCAAAGGAAAGCCCTCTTCATGACAGACAAAAGGAAGCTTACATCTTGTTGGCCGGTGGCAAACCTGGTCAAAAAATCTCCAAAGCATTTTGCCAATATTCACACACCTTGCATCGACATAATCGGGGCTGCTCCACAGACACACCCACTCTAGCAGAGCATCCGTGATGAGGCTGGGACATGTGCTGGGGCAGAAGTGGCAGAGGAAGCCCTCCGAGGGGCCTTCACCGCAAGCCTGGAGAGGGTGACAGCATCCGGGTCCCAGGGGGACTCCCCTCCAAGCTTGGGCCAGCCCCAGACCTGCTTCGCTGCCCCATCTGAGCAAAGGCTCTGCCCCACTTCCAGCCAGGAGCAGCCGCTCCAAGGTGGCCTCAAGATCTGCTCCACAGCAGGGGTCCTCCAGTGATGTCCCTGCCTAGGAAGCAGGTCTGGCCGCAGCGGGATTTGCAGCCACACTCAGCTAATCTTTCTGGGATTGCTCATACCCTGTGCACTTCCTAGCCAGATGGTTTTGGAGCATTGCTGTCCAGGGAAAAGGGTCGTTTGGAACCAGACAAAGAAAAAAGCTAAATAATAAGGAACTTGCATAGCAAATGACAGTACATTTTGGAAAATACTGAGGTTTATGTTCCTTGCCCCTGGGAGGCATAGGAAAATCCTCCAGAAGGACAAGTTCAACTCTCTGAAGAGTGAGGGTACAATCCATCCTAACGAGACAGAAGAGATCAAACAGTACCATCTGAAAAATCTTGTACGAGTGTGTGATGGGAAAATTGAGACAAATCCTGATAGAAAAAGCCGGCTTATATGTGCCTTTGTGATAGAAAATCAAACCTACAGTGCCTCTGCCTCTCTCCCAGAAAGAACCAGAATTCCAAGCCAGGCTTCAGTTTAGTTTAGTGTTGGCCATCAGTAAAGTGCTCCTTAAAGAGAGGGAACTCAGTGATGCTGCTACATTTGTTTGCAAAGTTAAGCTTGCTACTTTATTAGCATTTCACTGTATCCAGGCTTTTGTTTTGATAACAAAAGCATTCTATACAGTATTTTCAATTTGTAAACTGTCCAGGGAGCCTTTGAGCTGACTGACAGTGAAGAAATTCAATAATAAAGATCACAAAAAATTTTATAGCAGAATGGTCTTGACTTATAAATTTACAGCATGATATATGTGATAGTATTAATCAATATGTTTTATTTTCTGTGATTTCAGAATGAAGTATTGGAAATGAAAACTAATTTTGTGTGTGTATAGATAAATAGATTCCAATTTTAAAAGTGCTTGTCTTAGCCTGCAACTTCAGCACAATATAACATGCACCAACTTTATTTTAAATAACAACATTGAAGTAGCAAGCCATCAATAACACGTAGAAAACAACCGATTGCACATCAAAGGCAAATTGAAATTCAAGCTTTCACCAGTTGTTGGGCTATTGAGGAAGCAGCCCAGCATATCAAACATGGTTGGACAATCTTAAATGTTGGTGCCACCAGGGAAAAGCGCCTGTCCTTTGCACCCGCCATCTTTGTTGGTCTTGAAAGTCAAGCACTTTCGTATGAGCCGGTGTGGCATAGTGGTTAACAGCATGGGACTGGGACTCGAGCAATCCGGGTTCGAGTCCCCGCTTGGCCATGGAGCCCACTGGGTGACTTTGGGCCAGTCACAGACTCTCAGCCCAACCTGCCTCACAGGGTTGTTGTTGTGGGGATAAGATGGAGGAGGAGAATGATGTAAGCTGCCTTGAGCCCTTTGTAGGGAAAAGGCAGGATATAAATCAGAAAAATAAATAAATAAATAAATATGAAACCAGGTTAATCAGAGTTAATCTAGTCCTTCCCCAACACTGTTTTACAACTCGAGATTGTGTGCTTGTTTGAATGTAATACATGCTAGTAAAATTGTTGTTGTACGATCTGTTACTAACAGTTCAAAATCAGCCTTGGGCAAGTGCGAAATGGCAGGCTGGGCATGATGACCTGCTAGGAATACTGTTCATGTGAATTGCCGAAACACAAAGAGGACAGCAATTTGCACAAACTGTGAATATGGTAATTCCTATATATAGAGCCAAGAAACAGAAATACATTACATCTCGCCATAACAAAGTCAACTGTTTCTCTTTTCCATCTGCTGTCCAGGTGCTAAATGGAGGTTCTTTACCATTAAGCTAGACATATGGCTTAAAGGAAGAGGAGATCCCTGCAAACAACCCTGAAAACAGAGGACTGTCCTCTGCAAAAAAGGACACATGGCCACCCTTGAGCTGCTTTACCTCATCTGCATGCATTAGAGACAAGATCCACTCCCTACGCGAAGGTCTGATTTCCACAGTGCAAACTTGCATGTGTCTACTCAGAAGTAGCTCCCACTGAACTGTATGGGACTTAATCCCAAGTAAGTGCGTCTAGGGTTGTAGTTTAGAACCCCATCAATGGCTACTGTTCTTGATGCTAAATGCTACCACCAGGCCTAAGCGACAATGCTACCTATCAGAGGAAGCACGCCTGTGTGCACCAGTTGCTGGGGAACATGGGTGGGAGAGTGCAATTGCAATCACAACCTGCTTGGGGGTTTCTCACAGGATGGCTCCCTAGCCTCATCCAGTAGAACTCTTCTGATACGTTTTAAAGAATGACAAATCCGGCAGGTTATACCAAAAAATCTCCTAATCTTAAAGTCTCCAAGAGAGAGAGGTACCAGAAAAATGTGGTCTATCCCTTAAAACTAGGTCAGCTGAAATGCTTTTTCCAGGACTGGCTTACATGCAAATCCAAAGTTCCTTCTCTTCCCCCTTTTCCTTCTCTTTTATGTTAATGCTGCTTTTGTGCATTTAGGAAACAAGTGTCCAACTCAGTTATTCCTGATGCAATCCAAAACTACTGGGGCTTTTTACACTGCAATCCTAAGCAGCTTTCCACAGATGCCGGTCCTCCCTACTTCAGTGGCACATACTTCCAAGTAAGTGCACAGAAAATTACAACCCTTTCCCATAGACGTGTGACTATTGCCAGCTCTGTGATAGTTTCAGCACCAGCTCAAAATGTATTTTTTTGTCCAGCCATTTCAATTTTAGTTCTAATTGGCTGGGATGATGCGTCCATTTCTCTGCAATCACGGCCATGGTTTTGGATTGATTAAGGCTCTGATATTCTGTGTTTTTATTTTGTGCCCTTTTGATCCTATTCAGCATGGATGAGGGTGAAGGGCCGTTTTCTACTAGTCTGATCAGCAACAAAATACCTGTGTGGCAGTTTCTAGAGCAAATCTGCGCTCGTACGCTGTTAGCAGCCACTGTTGGTTTCCTGTACCAGCTTAGCCCAGTTTTCATTCCAAATGTTTTGCCCTTCCTAGGACAAGCTGCAGAAGCGGAAGAGTACGATGCAGCCACAACTTTCAGGATTCAGCTAGGGCATCAGCAACAGGCAACTCCAGATCTAATTTGGGGTGGGGAAAGCGCAGAACCCAAAGCAATCCCAGTTGCAGGTTTACACAGTGTCCCCTTCAGTATATCATGGATTCAAGCAAGGACGTGCTTGCGAACACCTCAGCTTTCTTAAGCAGCTATTAAATTCGGTGGGGTGGGGGGCATTATTGCTTTTAGCTTGATTTGCATTGTTGTGCTCTATTTTTAATTTGGGGAGCATGGGAAACTGTTTGGTTTATCTACCCAGGGATGAGGTGTTGGGAAAATTCAGATAAATCCTGGCAGGAAAGGGTTGCTTGTATGCACCTCTGTGTTGTAAAAATACCTGCACCCCTTTCTCAGAAAGCACCCCAATTCCAAGCCAGGTCACTGTTTAGTGCTGCTCTTACTTACTGTAAGGAGATGGAATTCGGAGCTGGACTGGGAAGCTGCTGGAGGCCAACCCTCTCCGTGGGGAAATGCCTGCGTTCTCATCAGCTGCAGAAGGACTGAGACAACGGTGCCCATGTGGGTCTGAGTGGAGCCACCCCAGCATCTCGTCCCACAGAGCCGGGCCCTGCTGAGTGCGGCTGCCAGGCCAGGTTTCCCGAATGGTTCCTCCCTCAGACACACTTGCATGTTTAAGCAGGATCCAGACTGCAAGGAGGTCCACTCGACTGACAGGTCAATGCAGCGATCGGCAATGTTTTCTGTACTATTGTTCCCGGTATTTCTGATGGGTTTAGAACATTATGTCATGCCTAGAGACATCGGGATGCTATTGTACTCAGATCATCTGGAAACCTCACAGGCTGCATTGGTGTATGTGACTGGCAGGTTATAAAAGCATCTGTCCATGGGCTGTGATTGTGTAGTTGGCAGGAAGGCATGCAAAATACAAAGCAATGGAAGGAAAATTCAAAGCAAGGAGGTTTTCCCTGCCTCCAGAGTTCTTCCGCATCATTATGCTACACAGCCGGCTTGGCACATGTGTGTGTTAAAGCACACGATGGTTGCCGCTCGAGTGGGGAGCTTTCTTGCTCTGCTCCTCCAGCATCACAAGTCTCCATATTCTCAAAACCATACTTAGCTGTCAAGGCAGCTCAAACATTCCTCAGGATGCCACTGTTGGCACATCGATGGATCTATTCTAGAAAGTAGCAGCGGTGCCCGCAGTCCAAAGCCCACCCCACCTTCTCCTGGGCCAGAGCATTTCCCCTGGTTCCGATGCACTCAGCAGCCAGCCAGGAAACCACGAGCGTTGCTGCACATCCCCCTTACTCTTGTTTAAATCCTGCAGACCAAAAATGCAAAACCCAGAAGGAAAGAGGAAGAAGAGAGGCATCCAAGAGCTGCATTTGAACGTAGAAAGAAAGTGGAACTACCATACCCATGTTGAAACCTCCACAGCTTCCAACGAGCACCTTTTCCCCAGCATCCAAAGCTCTTCAAGACTGGCCCCAGCACAGTAACTTGTGGGATGAAACTTCGTCTGGAAGAGTAGGAAAATCGTTGGCCCTCTTGCCAAGCTTTCAAGAAAAAGAGCAAGTCTCTGCCTCAAGTGGCAAGCCAGGCACTCCCCTTCCTCGCCTCAGCTCTCTCCACTCTCATGTTCCACTTGCGGACATTGTGGTCAGCGCAACGGTCACAACCTCCAACTGGATTCACTTGCCAGCTTAATCCTCAATTAGCTGAGCGCCGTCCTTCACCGCCCTGGCAAGTGAAGGAAGGCGGGTGAGCAGGACTGGGGCTTGTCTTGCCTGTCTCTTGGTGGGACAGACTCACTCCAGAGACCAGCAGGCATGTCCAAGCGGTTTTCAGGTGCTTGCATTCGGGGAGGCGCCCTTGGCATAAGAGAAGAAATAACCCCGCATGAAAGGGGAGGAGGAGGAGACAAATAGAAGAACATATGCTAGTACCCAGTGGACCTGAACAACTTGAAAAGCCCATCAAGCAGCGAAGGCTTGCGGGGAAAGGACCGCCGTGGTGGCCACGCCTGAGCAACCGGAGGAAGGCTGGAAGGGCTCCCCCAAAATCTCCTCGGCTCAGGGAGGTTTCAGAGGCTGGCCTGTCCAGGCAGGACCCATCTGTGTGATGGAAAGGGAGGATACAGCGGAGCTGGGCCCCCCAGGGCGCGGGACACCAGTGCCGTCCTGTTAGCAGGCATTATTCAGAGCAGTGCTTTCCACTGCATCCAAATTCACCGGCTTCCTGGCGTCCCCACTTGGAAAACAATAAAGCAAAGAAATCACATTCCCATCCATACGGCAGCTTAGCTTGGGCCTCACAGTGTTTTATCGTGTCTTCTGAACCTAGGCACAGCAGCAAAACATGCTTTGCTCACCAGAAACAAGGCACAGATGCGCAATGTAGCCACGAGTCCATGTGGCCCCGTGGACTGCAGTCCTGGGAGATCTGGGTTATAGCACCTCACTCAGCTGTAAGTTCATCAGAGGGCTCACAGTCAAGACTCTCAGCCTGGCCTACCTCACAGGGTTGTTGTTTGTGAGGATAAAATGGAGGAGGAAAACCATGTAAGCTGCTTTGGGTTTTTTAAAGTGGAGTTTGAATGTAAAATACTATTACTACAACCACCAATCAGTTCTTTTATGGGTTATTTGTAATTAACAAACTGGTTTCTTAGCTCACTTGAGCTCAAATGACACAATAGCCCACCTTTCAACAACAACCCGTGGTTCAACTTGTATTCACCGTGATGGGCAGCCGTTACGTGCAAACTTGCCCATTACCTGCTGCCCCTCTCAGAAATCCTTGAATGTCTCAGCTCTGCAGCAATTCCTCAGTTGCTGGGAGAAATGGATTTTTCCAGCAACCATAGATTCTTCCAAGTTGCAATGCAAAGTATTGGAGGGGAGGCTGATCTGGAATGGTCCTTTTGCTTTACAAAAGACCTGCTCCTGGTGTAGGGGAAAGCGGCTAGGGCTGGTCGGTTGGACAGAAGCCCCGAATTCCTTTTGGCCCAGTCATGACAAGCTTCTGCATTTCAGAATTCCACATCTCAGTTTACTGCTCCGCCTCTCCTTTTTCTTCATCCTCTTCTGAAATCTCTGTTGCCACTGCAGGGCTTTCTGAAGGGGAAAATGGGGGTAGGAGCTCCACATGCAGGTCCCCTCCTCCAAGTTGGAGGTGCATGTGAGTCCACGCCATCACCCGAGGAGGCACAGAACAGCACTCTAGCATAGTTCCTTCCATCTCCTCTCCCACAACGGGAAAAGCCGCACCCCTGGAAATCTTGCCTGCCTGGCAAAGCATCTGTTTTAACTGTCACGAGGTGAATGAAGGGGGCAACCCGAGGCCCCCTCTCAACATCCTCTGGAAGTCATGGAGTTCTTCCACATCCCAGATCCAAGGTCCTAGAAACACAGAGCCAGAATTTTAAGGCAGTGGTTTTCAGGGGGGGTCCACAGATGGGGCTTCATCCTGCTCACCACAGACGGGTGCAGAGGCTGGCTGAGCTCCACCACCTCTTCTGCGGATAGCATTGCATTTGTGGGATGGGGGTGGCTAGGTTGGAGACAGATGGCTTGGTGGGAGCCAAAAAATAAAATAAAACACAGCATCATAAAATAAAACACAGCATCAGTTTCTGGTTGTCTTGGAGAATTTCATTTTTGGGGCATTGTGTTTGGAAACCGATCCACAGAATACTGCATTCTGCCCATGGGGCTTCGACTTCTGCCTCAGCGGTCCCTGGGGGGGTTTTCCTGCTTTCGCCAGTCCCCAGGGCCGGAAAAGTCGAAGACCGCTGCTCTAAAGGACCAGCGCATGCCCGCCCCTTTGTATCCAGCATGGAAGGGACCGTGCCTGGCAGGGTGGGGGAGCATGGAGCTACCCGATTGTGCCAATTCCAGTTGGTGCACCAGTGCCTTTCCTTCCCCTTCCCTGGCAGTAAATCTGGGCGGCCAAAGCTGGCCCTCCAGGGCATGGAGCACAGTGCAGAGTGCCGCTGTCACACCTCGCTCCTGGCAATGGATGTGCACAAGTTCAGAGTTGGGAGAGTTGCAAGCATCCGCTGCAAAGGTGATAGGAGGGTGCTTCGGTTCCATTGGATTGATGGATCCTTCCTAGGTGTTCCATTCTCATCTTTCCAGGAAACAAGCAGCGGCTCCCAAGCAACTGTACAAACTACTGCACAGTAACCATGTCGAAATAAGTCATGGCAGGGCTTAAGCTCAACAGCAGCATGATTGCTGGTAAAGCCTTTAGGAAAATCCAGAAACACTCTTCTGAGACCTGATGGAATAAATTCCACCTTTGCTGCTCACCCAGGAGTGAGAAAGCGACGCAGCGCTCTTCTCCTGATGGCCCCTGCGAACAAAACCATGACTGAGGGTGTGCATTTTGCCCGGTCAAGTTAACAGAATGCTTTGCAGAGAAGCCGGAATTTGCATTTTGCAAAAAGCTGGAAGGATAGCCAAGAGACTAGCTAAAGCCAGAGAGGGAAGGAGGACTTTTCTCCAGCCCATGTGCCAAATTCAGTTTAGAAAAACAACCAGGGACCTTTGGGCCTGGCCACAGGCAAAAGGGGTTTAGCCAAAGCACCCAAACCCAGCTTAAATCTGTTTGTAGCTTAGAACTGATATTGTCTTAAGAGAGGCATTTCAAACATTAAGAATGAGAGAAATCTGAGCCAAAGCTGGAAAAATAAAAAAGAGCCTTCTGAGTGACGGTCCCCTTGCTCATGCTGGGCTTCCTCTAGAAATCAGGCAGACACCATGACTGCATTTGCTTCAGCACCTCCAGAAAAACATTTCTATTTCACAATGCCTTCCTTGCCTGACCAACCATGTTCTTTATTGGTTCTCTGCTCTTCAAAACAAAACGTTAGAATGCTTGCTTTATTCTCTTGTATCATTCACTGCTCCAGAATCTGTCCAGATGTGCAGTGCTAAGTGTTGTAAATACATTAACAAAGCTGCCAGACATTCAGTGGTTGGGAGGCAAGGCCATTTATCGTTGTGCAGAAGGAATTACCACAACAGCAAGTAATCATGCAGTTGGCACCTGCCAAAATTCTCTTCTATCCAACAGGTCCAGGTGCTCCACCCTCTCCTGCAGTGGGCCGCTCTAGATCTTGTCTTTGCAATAATATTTTAGTTCAACTCCTGCCCTACCTGGTGAGCTCCACGCTTGTTGGACTACAGGCCAGCTGGCTAGATGTTGGCACTTGCTTTCCAGAAGAGTCCCAGGTTGGCAAGGCTGGTCTGCATAACTAACAGATGTAAAGTAAAAGAAAACAAGAAGAAAATGCAAGGACTGCCGTAAAGAGGAACGTCCCGAAGCTCCCACAGTGGTGACTGGGAGAGAACTGGGGAAAAGGGCAGGGCCTTATCCTAGATATGCCGGGGCAGGAGGGGAGAGAACTAGTGTAGCTTGGGAAACTTCCCAACAGGCCCCGCGCTGAGCCCATTTGTATGATGCACACAGAGACCACGAACAAAAGCATTATTCCAGAATGTGGCTTACCCATGATTATGCCTAGCAAGCACTCTCCACCAAACTTTAGTGGGTTGTATCAGAGCTCATTTAGGAATGTCACAGCGACAGGGAAGAAAAGTTCTGCAAAGGGCAAGTGCTACTTTTGTTTACTGAGCTTTTGTGCCCCAGTAAAAGTATTTTGCGCCTCCACAGCACTGAACGCCTTGTGTACAGCAAGTGGTAACGATGCCAATGAAACCCATTTCAATTCCCAGCTGTAACACAACGAAAGTCAGCAATGTGGGAGAGGACTATTTCTGCAAGGCAGTGCTTGCCTTTGGCACACACGACTTGGCAGGCTGCAGTTGGTGGATCGCAGGATTCTAGCAAAAACCAAAATAGCATCCTAAAGCTCGAAGTCTGCCTACCCTGGCAGCCATTTGCTAGGCAGCCGCTGAGTGAAGCTTTTAGTTTTCATGGTAACGAGCACATGGATTTAAAACCTATTCCATCTGTTAATTGCCAGAGATGGAAGAGCTGTTAAAGACTCTGAATATGAGTTAGCAGGCCTAGTGAGTTTACCCCCCTTTTCTGCCCAACCTTGTGTGCCGAGTGTGACAAGCAGAAATTTGGCAGGTAGTGTTTTTTCCCAGGATACAAATACAGCGCTGGGAAAGCTTCAGCTGCTGAATTTCTGAGCTTGTCACACAGTTGATTTGAAATGGAGGCAGCTGTGCCAGAAAGAAATTGTTGGCCCAGGTAAAAGCGACAGGGCAGTTTTGGTGTTCAGCAACTTGTGTTTCATTTAAGCTCATCTCTAGCCTGTGAGTAGTTTAGGCTATTTAGGTGACTTTAATGAGTCAGAAGTTTTTAACTCGAGTGTCCAAACTAGAGACACTCCGAGATTCTTAATTCCCAGCTCAGAAATACAACTGTTGCAGGTATTGTAGAACACTTAGCTCAAATACTGATTTTATCATATGAATGTTATAATCTATCATTTATTCCTACTTGGACTTCAACAGGTGGCAACTCTAATCTCTCCTTTCCAGCCAGTTTATATGCTCCCACAGGATCCTCCCAATTCCTTCCTTTACCCGGCTGCTACTGTTGCTTCACTGCCTGACGTGGTGTGACTCAACCCATCACACAGTTTTCCCAAGAGCACCAGGCATAAGACAGCCTAGGAAATGTAGTTTTCCCAAGGATACCAGGCACAGGAAGACCTGGGACATGTTTTCCCAAGGGATAGTGACACTGCCTGTGCAGTAGCAGCCACCAAGTAAGATGATAGGACGGGATCCCGAAGGTGGCCGGGAAGAGGTGAAGGCCGGCTCAATGAGAAAACAGCACAAGGATTCAAAGCCCATCACACACATCGGTTAGAAAGGCAACAATGCTCAAATGCACTCAGACTGTCTTGGTGTGAGGCATGCAATTTGCTGACTTTCTAGGGTGTGGGGGCAGATATAGTAATCTTTCCTTCCTTCCTTCCTGTCAGAAGTCTCACAGTTAAAATAAGTCACATTATAAAACATACCATATTAGGGCATATAGTAACGAAGAGATACAGTACTGGCTACAATGTAAATGTAAACCAGCCCGCTTGGAAGGCTAAGGGAGCTTGCCCATCACTAGTCAAATTCCAGCATCTTTTGAAGATATCGCATTGGCTACTGATACCGAGAGCCTGCATCACAGGGTGACAATAAAGGGCTGCACAGATGACAAGGCTTCTCCCTTTCCATTCCCTTTTTATTGATTTTTAACTGATTTTGCACATGTCAAAGAGGCCGTCAGATACCCTATTCAGCCTTCATTTCACAACATGGCCCAGGAGTTTGTGCACTCTAAGCTGCAGAGCAATGGCTGGACATGCTCTGAAGGTACCAGGTTCACTCTTTGGCATTTCCCGTTAAAAGCATCTCAAAGCAGCAATCCTGAATCAGATCCTGGAAAACCACAACACCACTAGGCAAACTGGAATTAACAGTGGGACTCCATATAAGGCAGCATTGCACCTTCATTAACAGATTATCAAGCACAAATTGTAAGACCATGGATCCTAGTATCAGTTGAACAAGAGGACCAGATGAACAAGATTTATAAGACGGAGATTTTAAATGGACTGTTAAGTTATAGAGCTGTTACAAATTCTGAGACCATTTTTACTGCTTTATTTGAGATGTGGCATCACGCTCTCTCGAATGAAAGCCGAGTTCACAGAAAACAAGTACACTAAGCAGATGCTACTGCTAACCAGGTCCCATTGAAAACAATCGAGACGGGCACTGAGCTTTGTGAACAGAATTACACTGAGCAAATACACTCTTGTTAACCTTTAGCGCTTCGAAAGGCACATCGCAGCTGGCCAGTTTCCTTGTTCCCTGTGTTGAGCTGTGGGGAAGTCCATTACCTGGACTTCCCCACAGCTCATTTTCTATGTATAGGGAGGGGTGTTTGTGTTGTTAAGGATCAAAACTGTGACCTGCTTCGCCACACCCCTAACGCACCTCTGCAGCTTTTGTTCGAGGTATCCCTGCACCTACGCAGATAGTTCTGCCACCTCCTTCAAGCAACCCTTTAGCCAGCTGCTGTAAAGACCTGCTCACGTGCTGCTTGATGCTCAGGCAGCCAGATGCCTGGGTTGTGGGTTGGATGGGGGATGTATTGGCATGTTATGCAGGGATGGGCAAAGACCGAAGCACGCAGGCAGAAGCCTCTGCAGCTTGAAGAGAGGCCATGCCTGCTTGCGAGGGTGCACAGCGTGGGCCTTCGGCACCTAAACTACTAGTACATTTACAGTGGCATAAGCCTTTCTGAATTAGCCACCACTTCATGATTGCATGAACAGTGATCTGCAGCTGACAGGACCGCAGATGTAAAAAAGTCAGAGCAGACCTTTTGCCTGCCTTTCCTTTTTTGCCTCGCTGCTCAAAGCAAACAGCAGCAATTTCCCTACACAGTAGGAGTGCAGAAGCTTTCTCAATTAAAATGTGGAGAGGCTCCTGGGGTCCACGCGGGGGGGGGGGGGGGGGGGAGCCAAAATGAATAGGACCGAGCTACTAGAATACTTTAGCTTTAGAAGAAGTATTTTGACATTTGAGAACTGGGAGAAAATGACACAAAAGCTGGGAAATCACCAAAGGAGCAGTGGATGGAAGGGGGTAAAGTTGCGTGGGTAACCCCAGAGGGCTGGATTGGGCCTCATGCCCAGGGTTCTTACACTCCCAATGTAAAGGATACATCATCTATAGATGCCAACTGAAGGTAACACTGCACACATCTGACGCTAGGCTAGCCAAGGTGATGCTACAAAGGTGCCACAAGACTCTCCAGAAACAGGTTTTAATAGAAGTTAGGTGCAACTAATTTCTGCTGGACAGTTCCTAGAATTCGTAAGGCCATCAAAAACTGGGCTTAGCAATGATATTCACAAAATAAATATTTGGGCAAAATTCTGATCAAGACTGTTAATCTTCCAAGGCAGGGAACGACTACGCTGTATGTTTGTTTCAGCTTCAATATAGATAACATATTTATTGAAAACTTTTCTCCACCAGCAATGGTGAAATCATGCTGAAAAATTACAAAACATCATGGTAAGTTGCTTTATAAAAATAAATGGAAGGATTACACCAACATGATTTGTTCCTGGTTCCCTCAAAGTGCCAGTTTCTCCCAGATCCCTAGAGAAGGAAGGCGGGAGTTGTGTCTCTCTTTGTAATAGATACCATTAGAAAATTGGATTCCATTCAGAAAAATGGTTCTGCCATTCAAGAGGTAAGGGTCTTGGAGAGATCTTCTCCCAGTCCCTCTTAAAATAAATATAGAAAATAGCTTCTAATGAAAAGGTTTGGTCAATTTAAAAGAAAAGAAGAAGAGGCCCTTTCCTTTTCACAGAGCAATAAATCCGTTCTTTTTCTGATAGTGTGCAAAGCTTTTGGTGAGTTCAGCTACTGACAAAAATAGTTAATTATCTTTTGATGACGATCCAGTGGATTCCTGCTTGTCGATAACCAAAGACAACACGAGGAAGTACTCTGTGGCAGGCACCAAATGCCAAGCACTTTTGATCCGTCTTCATTAGCAGTGATCGAAATTCCATGAAGCAGCCGGTACGAGGAGGTCATCTTTGGCAACGGCAGTCAAACGGACGGCGTCTTTGGTGGGTGGCCCTGTTGTACGACCTGTGGCCGTTTGACTCTGGGCTTCCGTCTCTTTGGCCTGCTCTTTGATTTTATCTGTACCACAAAGAACGCCAGCACCACCATGGCGCCAAGGAAAGCAAAGACCGGTATGGACCCTCCCACATCCTGATTGTAGCGTCCCGGCATGATTCCTGCGTGGGAAAGTGAGCAAATGTGAGTACATGTTTAACCACCCACAGGCGAGATTCAGGGTCAACGGCACAGCTGCTGGTTCCAACTGGGCAGCGCCTAAACTTGGTCCCCAAAAGCAAAGCGAGCCTTGGTCACCCTGGCTTTCCACCATGGGGATGTTTTGGTTTCACCGTTTGTGCTGGAATACAAACCTGGGTAAACCTGGGTTCCGGACAGCCCTGAGACGACTCCTCTGTAGCAAGCAGCACCGATGACTGACAATTTGCCCACTGGCTGCCAGAATGGAACTGTGGCGGGGGGGCGGAGTGGTAATGCTCTAAAGCTCTTATTTCACATGGCCCCATAAGAGGAATAAGCCACCCTGAATAAATTGCAGTGCAGGTGACCAAAAAGCTGAATCTGAATTATTCCAGAGGTCTGTTGGCTTCTTCTACACAGTTATGTACACATATGCCTAGTTAAGAGAGGAGCATCATGACATTTTGTTACCTACCTCCTGGAATATCCCATGCTCCGCTTTCTCCAGGTGACAAAGGCCTTACTTGAGGTCGGCTCTGGCGGAAACTTGGCAAAGCTACTTTATCCAGATCGATTGATAGCAGCTTCTGATGTTTCCAAAGGTTGCTGGAAAAATTCAAGCATTCAAAATGGATGGTATGTTAAGCTACTTGTTATCCAAACAACCACAAAGTATGGCTTTTACTGCTGTGAGGGTGGGACTCCCTGGGTCCCTGGCTATTTACCCTAAAATAGATAGATACACCAGATTCTCAAAGCATGGTGCATAGGATATATGGAAGATTGAGGATCTATGGAGTGATTCCCAGAGAACACAACAAAAAACCTTGCAGTATTTCATTCGTTCTTAGACTAGCAAGGTGCATTCAGCTAGCTGTTGGTTTTCTAAGAAACTGCCTGCAAATTTCTAATATGTAATAAGAGTACAAAGGAAAGCCAGGCACCAAATGTGTTTACTGAAAATAACATCAGCTACTGCTTGTCAGTGGTTTTTACTGTTTGCTGTTCCCTAATTCCTTCATTTACGCTCTTGGTCGTCCAAATACAATTACACAGCTCCTCAAGCGAGGTGCAGATCAGATTCAAAACTGAGACCTTGCTAAGGCATGGAGCAAACTCAAAAGTCAGAACCTGGGTGCAGTTTCATTCAGAGGCTGTGGCTTTGCCCAGGAGAGGTGAGGACACGCCGGAAGAGAGCGGGGCTTGGGGTCACGCAGGTGAGCTTCGAGCACTTTAGAGTATCGATGAAGATGATTCCCTACAATTCCAGAACAAAAGAGTTACACCTGGAGGTGCTTTCCTGCCTGCTGCTCCGGTCCTTTTCTAAGCAGAAACAGGAGAAGTTGTGGCCTCCCCCAAAATTCTGTGACAAGGGATGGCACAGAAAAGATACACTGCCTCATTGAAAGGATGAACGAACGAGTGGTATCAAAGGACTTCCGTCAGTGCAGGCAACCTGGAAGGGCGAGAGGGGGAGATCCTGCTGGGACCGCCCCTCTGCACCAATGCTGACCACCACCCACCCCCTCCTTCACCTCACCCCCTCCGTCCCTTTACTTTTACTCCACTGCCAACCCAGCCTAGGAGACCAAGATAGGCAACATCAAGAGGGCAGCTGTTTGTTCCCTCCATCCCCTCCTGGCTGCCAAACAACACCAATGTCACATCCAAATCACCTTCCATGCGCTCCGGGAGAGTATAGCCCATGCCCGTTGGTGGTCGCTGCCTGTTCTCCGAATGACTGAGGCTGGGCGGCATCACCCCATAAGATGTATATTGCAGGAGAGAATCGAGGAGCCAGAAGCAATCTGTGATTTGAGAATGTAAGAATGTTTTTTAAACATGATGAGGGAAGCTTTGTGATCTCTTTCTAGCCAAGTCAGTTCCAAATGCTAATGATGTTTCTTGAAGCAGGCCTCCTCCTCCTCCTCCTCCTCTTTTGTCTAAGGAAACATTAAGCTTGGCTGCTACCTGCTTCCCTTGACAGTCCACACAGCTGCTGTCGCTCAGCCCTCCCCTTCTGAAGCTCAGTTCAGATGTTTTGCAAGCCTGAAAAGGGGGAGCAAAGACTGCCAGCGCTGCGCACTCATCCTTCTCCTGTACACAAGCAAAAATAGCCAGGGTGCATGTCAAGGAGCAGCATCTGAGGCCTGAAGCAATGGGGTATGCTGGTATCGAAGGCGTGGCAAAGCCAAGAGGCAGCAGTAGGTGAAGGGCTACCAAAGTTGACAGGGAAAGGAGGACCTTCTCCACCTTTCCCCGCATCCCACTCCCTCTCTTCTCTTCTCTTCAACACCACCCATGGTCAGTGGTGAGCAGCATCGCTGTCGTTCTGCTGCCTCTGCCTGGGAAGGTGCAGCGCCCGTTCAGCAGCATGGGGAAAAGTAAAGTATGCTGTATGTACACAGTCAGGCCACTGACATGAGAAGCGAGGCTGCCCCGGGGATTCCAGAACCAGGAGAGAAACACGCCTTTCCCCATTCTTAGCGTCTTTGAGACTTTGCCCCAGAGAACTCCATGGAAGACAGGGTGAGCCGAGTTAGCCATATATAATCTTGCATGTCATGTCCCGATTTAATTCAATGCCAAAACTTGCTTTGAAAAAACTTGTTACAGAGCCCCAGCCTTAGTGTGAGCTTCCAGACTTATGAAAGAACTCAACTGTGTATTTGTAAAACAGTAACAACTGATAATGGACAAATCATCATTTCTAGCTGATTGCCTGCTCACATCTTTGATCTTTTCAGCAAATTATATTTAGCACAAACCATGATTCACAAGCCCGTTTCCCAATCCTGGCTTGTCACCTGATCTCAAATGATAGTTTGTTCATTCAGACTTCATACTGCCATAATCATGGGTTGGTGCAATGTCTTGAGTGGAGTCCAATGTCCATCTTTTATATTTGCTAAATCAGCTCTGAGAAAGGAAGAATTTCCTCCACGCTTATCCAGTGAACTTAAAATATTTAGTCTCTCTACTGCACCGTGTCAATTCACTAATGCCAGCCTAAGCTAAGCCAGAATGAAAACTTTCATGTAAAGAGTACAGTTTATTTACCCAGCAGCAAAGGATGCCAGGGAGAAATGATCCTTGATTTCAGCCTTTAAATTGAGAAATAGGTTGTTTGGGTTATCGTGCTCGATAAGGTAAGAACTGGGCAAACTGTTTTCAGAAACAAGGTCTGAAGGTCTCCATCTCTTAGATATCTGAGTGGGTAGCACAAGTCTGGTCTTCTCAGACCCTTAAACACAGTTCAAAGACATTTTCTTTCAGCTCCCACCCGGCATGGCTGCTTGGTGGGAATGGGAACTAATCTTCATAATCCCAAAGTCACTGAAGTGCTCACCTTTGATTTTTTGTACAGAGGTCAGACACATTTTTAGGAATTATAAATCATAAACGTGAGGAATTTTAAACACAGCTAAGCTCATGGATGTCACAGCAGGCGGCGCTGCTTCTAATTCGTAACATGAAAGCTCGTCTGGTCCAAAGTGACCCTGCTTGACTGCAATAAAGCACCGAAATGGAAATGGAGGAAGACGGTGCCCTGACACCGACACAACAGGGGATGCCTATGCCGGGCTCTGCTTGTTTTAACTGTATTATTCATACCCCCCCTTTTTTTTCCTTATGCAAGGAACTCAGGCAGGCTGCCATGGTCTGCCTCCAGCTGCCCTCACACCAACCCTCTGGAGCAGACCACCTGGGGAGCTCCATGGCTGAGCGGGGGCTACAGTCTGGAGCTCCTGAGGCCCAGCGTGAAGAGCGAGCCATGGGTCTGCCAGTGTTCCTCTGCCCGCCTCACCAGGTGAGGTGGTGGGTGACCGGGAGGAGGGAGGAGGCCTCTGGGACCTCTTTCCTTTCCCTGATCACGGCAAGGCCACTGTTAACACTCACAGCTGAGGTGACGAGGATTCAGTGAGTGATACCTGATACCAGGTATCACATTAACGTGCGAGTGTCAGTCCAACAGAACTAGCCAGAAGACAAATACGCATTTGCCTATGATAAGCGTGAAAGACAAGCTGCATGCCTGCAGAGACCCGAAGAGTCCCTGGCAGCCTGGCCTCCTGGGATCGTGTGCCATTTGGCCAGTGAGACTGTGAGCTCAAGGCCAGGCGCTGGAGGGTCAGTTCGAGGGGGCTGGATCCTGAGAGGGAGGCAGAGTGAGGCTCAGCCCCAACCCCACTTTCCCAAGCACAGAGGAATGCCCTGTATCTAGAAACGCCTGATTTAGGCGCTTCCGCTGCTCCTGGGGCTTGTTTCTGATCCACTGCAAGAGGCCTGTTCTGGGATTGCCTGACAATGGGGACAAGCACAGAACACAAGGAGACCTTTGCCCATGTAAACTAGGCAAGGCGATCCGTTGGAAGCAGCTTACTTCCACAGCACAAGTACCTTCAGAAAGGTGCCGCGAAGGCCAGACAGCCTGAAGGAATCTTTGGTTGGCAGTGACTGGAAGTCACAAGAACGATAAATTAAAAAGGGAAAACTTAACTGTGTGAAAAAAAGCAATAGTACGAGCAAAGTATGAATAAAAAGGTAAAGGTTTCTCCAAGACATTAAAGTCCAGTCGTGTCTGACTCTCGGGGGCGGTGCTCATCTCCATTTCCTAGCCAAGGGAGCCAGCGTTTGTCCGCAGTCTTTGTGGTCGTGTGGCTGGCATGACTGAACACCGAGGTGCACGGAACGCTGTTACCTGCCCACCGAAGTGGCACCTTTTTATCTACTTGCATTTATAGGCTTTCGAACTGCAAAGCTGGCAGGAGCTGGGACGAGGCACAGGAGCTCTCCCTGTTGTGCAGATTCGATCCAGCGACCTTTCGATCAACCAGCCCAGCAGCTGCGCAGTTTAACCCACTGCGCCACCACATCCCTAAAAGTATGAATAGCCCCTCAGCAACTGGAGAAAAAATGCCATTCGCAAGGGCAAGGGAAGCTTCCCAGAGGCGATCATCATCGCGGCTGAAGAAGAACTGAGAGGGAAGGTGGGACCCCACTAAGGACATGGTGGGGCAGGGTTCCTGCCAAACCCCTGTCCATTATAGACGTTTCCAGAACAAGGCGCCACGTAGGTGAAGAGTCTGTATGTGTGGTGCTGCACAGAGACCACGAAGAATGATTTCAACCTGCAGATATTTGGAATGAAAGCTCAAGCAGATGCACTGCAAACCGAAGCGACAATTTGCAAATGGACAGCAATAACTTGCAAGAATTTTAAGATCAGATAAAGGAGTCAGAAAATATATGACAAGGATCAGCTCTAATACAGCTGTTTTTGCATTCTTAGAAAGCGGCAAGGGGCTTCTTTCTGGCCGCTGCTGGTGGTGGGGGAGAGGGACTGGATCATGTGGACCTGCTCCTCCTGCAGCCATAGCCGTGTCTACAGCTTGGGGAGCAGGGGAGGTCTGAGAGATCCTGCAGTTCCTACGGATGCTCTCCAGCGTCATAGCAATGGGATGGGAAGAGAGGGGAGGGAACATGAAGAGCTCAAAAGGGGGAATTCTGATGGGATGGGAAGAGAGGGGAGAGGGTGATCCCTAATTATTTCCATATAGTTGCCCCTGTGCACATTGACAGAGATGTGGACACAGGTGTACCCATGCATTTCCAGAACCTCTGGTGGGGCATTAGCATGGTGATGGCCCATGTGAACTTAAGGTACGGGAGCGTGTGTTACACACCTTTTTGCCTGTGACTATCATCCAAACAATTGGAGTCCCCGTACAAAACAATCCGGCCTCCACCTTCCGAAGGAACTTGGAAGAGGCCCAAAATGGGAACGTTTTCAACTATCGCTGTTTCCTGCTTTAAAACTTCGAGACCTAGAAGGAAAGTCAGAAAGCGCATTGAGCATCCCAATACTCGCATGTGACTTCAGTACTGGCAGACAAACATTGCCAGCTTTCAAACATTACAAACGTATTCAGTTTCTCAAGATCGGTTGACTGCTGTTGTCAACTCTATTCAGTTCTAGTATTCCAAACACATGCCTAGCCTCAGAGTACTTGCATGTCTTCTGCAACAAGCTCTGCTCTCACAGGCTTAGTAGCAAATGAAGCAGATTGTGCAAGCTGGACCTGCCCACCCCTGCTTAAAACAACAGTCTTTCAAGCCTCCCAGACAACAGAGTGATGGAATCATTCTTGCGCCATGTTTAAAAAGCAGACTGTGAAGGACATGCGAGCAATGCCAAGTGCTTAGACTGAGGGAGAGTGTTGATTTGTTCTAGGGTGACTTACATGTGACATTAAGATTTTCTGCAAATAAAGGTTTTTAATGAAGGTCAATGGAAGATCCAGAATTATAGCTAGAAAAATATAATGTGAAATCCAAGGCTGTACCTTGATCCTTAAAAGTCTGTGCAAGCACAATGCCATCTTCTGGAAACTTTGCAATACTGCACCCTGAGGCATAGTTCACTGAAAATAAAAACGAAGACAGGTGAAGCTCACCAATCTGAGATATATTTGTATTAGAAATCTGCAGCCAAAGAACTGAGAGAGCATTCAGACCAGCAGCCTCCACACCGACTTCACTGTCCTCCATGCGGTTAGGGCTCTGGTATATTTGATTCTACGCATGTTCACTCAGAAGTCTCATTCAGGTCAATGAGACTGACTCCCAGGTAAGAGCACCTAGGACTGGGATCCAGAGGCAGCTTCCCTCTGCAGCTATATTGCCATCTGTTCCCCAAAGGCTGCGTCACCCCCTATGGGCCAAGCCATGCCTACACAATAGCCAATCCCATCAGGAGGCCACCCAAGGACTGCACTGCCTCAGAGCCCAGGTCAGGGAACCAGCAGGGCAAAGGGGGGGCTTTATAAAGCTAGAAGACTAGCAGAGACCACCTAGAGCAGCCTTTCCCATCCTTGATATCGACAGACTGCATGGGCCGTGGTCAGGGAGGGAACAAGTTGCAATGCAACAACACCTGGGAACCCAAGGCTGGGAGAGGTTGCTCAGGAGCAGGCATGGGCAACTTCCAGATGTTCTGGGACACAATTCCCATGAGCCCTAGCCACCATCACCCGTGTTGAGGGATCATGGGCATTGTAGGCCACAAGCTGCCCGGTCCTCTCTAAAACCTCTTTTCGATGTTGCAAGGAGTCATTTATAGGGCAAAGCATTCACTCAGGCAACCCCCTCCCCACCCCGCCTTCAGAGGTCTCGTTGAGAAATGACAGCTTTGCTGCATAACCGGCTGGTTCCACAGACCAGGCTCTTGGCTGTCAAGTACGAGCAGGTCCTGTTTACTTACTTTCATGGCTGGCCATTGTAAAATCCCCTTCATACAGCCCATCACTAAAGGCCATGCCCCAGACAGAGAGAAGATCATTCAGAGCAGGAATATTGGCTCCTCCAGTATCCGGCATCCACCACTGCCTACGGAAAGAGCAGCACGACACCGCCTGTCACAACTCAAGAGTCCTCCCATTTGTTTTGTGGAAAATAGCCAACCTCCCCATGCCTCGTAATATTCATGATGAGACACAGGTCACCAAGGCCAGTAGCATCCCTGTTTATCTTACAGAAGAAGCCTCTTCAACCTTCAGACCTCCAGAGGGTTTAAATAAAATTCAGTGCACCCTAACCATTGATTGAACAAAGCCCAGCTCCTCTCAGAAGTTCTGAAAACCCCATCTTAAGTTAATTAAGGGCTTAAAATGCTTTGTGTTTTCCATTTTTTGCACTGATGTTTTAGTTCTTTAAAAACATGAAGGTCACACCAAGAGACAATGCACAGCACTCTGGGTCATATGCCTTGGCAAGAAATGGGGTTTTCAGGAGTTCATCACTGGGCTTTTCGAACACTTTGAAGGCAAGAAATTCTAAGTTGGCTTTGCTCATAGCACTAGGCCAGGAGTCCACACTATGTGCACAAGCTGAAATAAGCTCAAGTAAATACTCAAAGTCATGCATATACCCCACCCCACTTTCTCCCCCTCCCATGCAACTATAAAGTCTTTCACTTTTCCACATAAGATGGTGTGTCATTGTTTTCAAACAGATATCACAGTTTAAAGCAAACTCAGGTTAAACAAACTAGCAAACAAATCCAGAGCAAAACTAATGCATTTGAAAGATGCTGAGAATTTGTTGCAGACCAGAACATAGTCTGTGGTTCACATGTAATGACATGTCAATCTTCTTGGAAAGCTGCGGCAGGGGATTTTCTTCTGCAAATTAAACTAGTTTGCATCAGGTCATTGCACTGGAACATTTTCAGTTTGCAGATTTTCCAATGCCAATGACCCAGTGCAAATTAACTATCTGTAATTGCCAACCATTATCACTAATTAACTTAAGGAATGAAAAAAAATCTCCATGGAGAAAGACAGGACCAGGGGATAAAAATCTGCCCCACATCAATGAAATTTAGCAAGAATCCTCTTCTTGGGCAAGCAGTAGCTGAAGGAGAAAAACACAAACCTGAAGCTTGGCTTAGGCCCCTCACAGCTTGTGCATGTTGCAATACATCCTGGCTTAGCGCTACATGTGAACCAGGTGGTTAATGTCTCGGTTCTTCTGAAGGGTGACTGGTTGTTTCTAGGTAAAAAGTCACTCTTTTGCTATTCAAACACAACCCTGTTGAGTCAGGATGCATTGGGCAGACAGTGCCTTGCACACGTATTCACCCCGAGTCTCCCACATTTTATGCCAGTTTGCTTTTGTTTTCTTAACTTTGCCCCACAATAAACATAATTTGCACTTCACCGTGTTGACTATCTTGCGTGCATGAAGTGGAGCTGGTAACAACATTAATTCCGTCTATTTCAGCGCCATGTCATAACGCAACAAAGATGAAGGGGAACGTGCAAATACTCCTGCGAAGTGCCCTAAAGCACAGAAGTGCAAAACCCTCAATCTGAAAATATTTTCTTCTAGATAGCAAAATCTAATAAGCTGGAGCAGTTTGCCTTTGAGGTGTATCACCAACATAGGTGACATGCTGCGTGAAATGTTTCAGGTTTTCCATGACCACTAACAACTGCATGTGGTGAGTAACTTGTCCATCATGAAATGATCTCAAGGACTCTGATGCAAAGCCTTGAGAGGAAAGTCCTCCAAACTTTTCCTCCGGCTTGCAAGCATAAAATAGAGTCTTTATGCAGGGTAGATGTAGATCCTTTCAAAGAATATGAAGAATGACCAGTTCTGGAGCCTTTATGATGTTTTGTTTAGTTATATATTTATTTTTTTAAAGACTTTGTTCCAAAACGCCTCTACAAGAGGGCATGGCACCACATGTCGGTGGATTGATGGGCTTAACCACATCACCTCCAACTTTTTAAAAAGTTGTTCTGAAGATCTCCTGTGTAAGGTAAGGGTTAACTGCCACCAAAAAAGTATCTTGTCACTTGCACTTAATGCCTTCATGGAGCCAGAAATTACAAAAAGGAAATCCAAAGAACCAGCTTCCAGAGTGTTTTTAATGTTTCATTTGAGCCACATCTTAATTTAAACAGCATTTGGCATAACTTGGATCCCATGCCCTGATGATTTTACTTTTAAAAAATATGTATTTTGGCTTTCTTTTAGGGTGGAGCCCTCCCACTCTGGAGATGCCAACAGCTTGCACCACTCACCTGGTGTTTTCATCATAAAACTTGACTTTCCTCATAACTGAGGTGTTGTACCAGTCACTGAATACTACCAGTGACAGCCCATTGTCGACGTCCCTCCTCAGCTTAGTGATTTCTTCAGGAAAATACTCTTCCTCGCTGTCTACCATCAATAAGGTCCCTGCATCAAGAAGGGAGGTCCAGTCAGAATCATCAAGCACTAGCTGAGATTGCTTCCTGGCCACCTGGCTTTCGCAAAGTATTGGGCATTCTGAGGAAGGGTGCTGGGACAAACCTAGGATCCACCTCCATATCTCAGCTGGCAAAAAAGGAGCGACACCCTCTGTCCCTCTCTTCTGTAGCGCTCGGTCATCTTTTTGACTAGAGGGAGGCAGTCACAGCTTTCTTCCGCCTTTTTCCCTTCCCCTGTCTTTACGTCCCATGACTCCTTCTGGCCTCTCTTATTCCCAAGCTGAGCGTTACTCCTAAACAGACATCTTCCAGCTCAAAGGAACCAGCAGCCACCATGGCACAGCTGCCCTCTCCAGTTGGCCTTTCATCTCCTTCTCACAGCTCTGTAAGAATCCAGCTCCCGGACATGGACAGGAGGCAATTCATGGCTCTCCAAAAGGCTTGGCCGACACACTGCGCGGCTCTGCTCTAAAACCCCTCGCCCTGGGGACAGTAGCTTTTCTACATGCAGGGCATCCTTTATATGAGAAGGCATTCAGTCATGCGAGCCCTCCCCTTGCCTGCCGCTCGAGGCCGAGTCCAGAGCAGCACTTCCAGCCTGCGCCCGGCTGCTTCCGTAGACCAAGTCTTGGCTAACAGGGATTGATGAGACCTGCCCACTCACTCGGATGGCCTACTCAGGAACTCTCATGAGGGAGGGCCACACTCCAGACCGAGAGAAGATAATTCGAAGGGTCACCACTGGCTAATGGGAGTGGTTCACCCAAACAGTGGGAGGACCACACTTTGGCCTAAACCCTTGCCAAACAGTCTCCTTCTAAGACTCAAATATACAACTAAATTTGACCTGAAGACAGACTGTAGGTTCAGCCAAAGCTTTGGCAGATCGCAACAACACCTGTTTCTGCTGCCCAGCAGCCGATCACAAACATTTTTGCACACAGTTTCCCTTGGTTTTAACGAAAGGTTTGCCACAGGGCAGCAACAGCTGCTGCATGAGAAATTTGCGTGCACGGCTCGTGTGGGCACGTGGAATCAATCCCATTTTTTAAATCCACCTTTAACTTAGAAACATAGAAACAGAGCAAGTCAGAAGGAGCCTCCCGGGCCATCTAGTCCGACCACCAGCTCCAGCTGGCTCCACTCACGACATGCCCACCATGTGTATGTCCAGCGTATCTTTGAACACCCTCACCGATGGGGCCTCAGCCACCTCCCGTGGAAGCCCATTCCATGCCCTTGGGGTCCTAACCATTGGGAAGTGCTTCCTGGCATCCAAATGGAACCTTGGCTCCCTGAGCTTTGCTCCACTGGAGCGCATCCTGCCTTCCTCTGCAGGGGAGAACAGGTCTCTGCCCACCTCCGTGTGACACCCCCTCACATACCCGTATGTCGCCAACATATCCCCTCTGAGTCTCCTCTTCTCCAGGCTGAAGAGACCCAGTTCCCTCAGTCTCGCCTCATACGGCATCCCCTGCAAACCGGCCACCAACCTTGTGGCCCTGCGCTGCACTGACTCCAACCTGGCTAATCCATTCTGTAATGAGGGGCCGAAAACTGAGCACAATACTCCAATTGCGGGTGCACCAGAGTCGTATAGAGTGGTAGTAATACCTCTCTTGATCTAGACGCCACACTTCTGGCTATGCCACCAAGGGTGGCGTTCACCCTCTTGGCCACCGCATCACACTGCTGACTCATGTTCAGCCTGCAGTCAACCAGCACCCCGAGGTCCCTTTCACAAGTGCTGCTCTCCAGCCACTTGTCACCTAACCTGTACTTATGACACCTATTCCTATGCCCCAAGTGCAAGACCTTGCACTTATCCACATTGAACACCATCCTGTTCTCTCCTGCCCACTTCCATAGTCTGTCCAGATCCTTTTGGATCTGGAGTACCTGCTCCTCAGTTGTGGCCACTGCTCCAGTTTTAGTGTCATCTGCGAATCTGATCAGCAGACTGTTCACCCCTTCTTCCATGTCGTTAATGAAAAGATTAAACAGGATCGGCCCCAGGACAGAGCCCTGGGGGACCCTGCTTGTCACTGGCTGCCATCCCGACGATTCCCCACTAATGGTTACCCTCTGCTTTTGGTCAGTCAACCATGCCCTAATCCACCAGACAGTGCTTTGGTGTATCCCAAAACTCCTCAGTTTCTTCACCAGGATATCATGGGGCACTTTGTCAGAAGCCTTGCTGAAATCCAGGTATACCACATCCACTGCATCCCCTCCATCTAGCCATCTTGAAACCTTGTCACAGAATTCCACAAGGTTTGTCTGGCAGGACCTGTTTTTGCGGAAGCCGTGTTGTGTGGCTGTCAGCCTCCCTTCCCTATCTAGCATCACTAGATCTCTCTCTATTATGAGCCTTTCCATTGTTTTTCCTACAATGGACATAAGGCTAACCAGTCTGTAATTCCCCATGTCCCTTCTACTACCCTTTTTGAAAATTGGGACCACTGATGCCACCCTCTAGTCCTCTGGAACTTCACCCGTTCTCCACGAGGCCTCAAAAATGGAGGCCAGCGGGCGTGAGAGAACCCCTGCCAACTCTAAGTACTCTCGGGTGTAACCCGTCAGGGCCTGGCGCCTTTGTAATGTCCACTGCCCTGAGGAGCCCCTCGACTTCAAGGGGGGTGACTGTAATCTGTGCCCCTAAGTCCCTGGCCTCATCTAATCTCCCATGTGGATATTCCCTGTCCTGCTTTGGGGAGAACACAGAGGTAAAATAGTCATTTAGCATCTGTGCCTGTTCCCTCACATTAGTCACTGGATCTCCTTCCTCCTTATTTAGTGGTCCCACCACTTGTCTCCCCTTCCTCTTCCTATTTACATGCTGAAAGAAGCCCTTTTTGTTGCTCTTGAGTGTACTTTAAGCACTGTTAAATTCTCATTACACACAACATTTCTATTTTCTGATATTAAAAAAATTAATATTTTCATCATCAAATCATCTCATGCCTTCACTACCTTTATAGTGATATTCACCAGTTCTTGAGAAATAGAGAAGGACCTCACACACACAGACAAATGAACGTGTAACACAGTTCTCTAACAGAACGGGATGCCTTTTGGAAGAAGAACTGGTAAGAGAGGTTGGATCCTCACAAGAAGAAAATAGGCAAGATATAAATGCGTAACAGCAACAAGTAAAAATGAAAGTGTCCGCATTCTAGATCTCAAACAACGCAGACTGACATGACCTGAAGGACCAGAAAAGGCATGCCACGCTCTTTGAAGTAGCATGCCGACCCCCCAGCTCCATCCTTAGGGGGCTCCTTGCCTTTGTGCAGCACTTTGCCAGGTCCATGGGGCTGAAAGTCGGCTCCCTCAGTGCTCTCAGCTAAAACAGGCGGAATTTGGCCCTGCCCATCACCAGGATGCGGTCCGAATGAGACCCTCAAAATAGCCTTCATCCCTCAGGCAGAAGGTGCCTGCTAAACAACTATTTTATTCAATATATTCATGCACTGCCTTTCTTGAAAATATGGCGCTCATGGTTGCTTGGAGCACAATTTAAAAGGGACTAAAACAATCAAACACTGTAAAATACAATTAAGCCCCTGCGCTACACACAGGGACTTCCTAGTACGTTTTCTTACTGATACCTCTGAAATAAAAAGGAGAGGCAGTGAGGCTGGGATAAATGGGGGAAGAGTATGTTGTTACTGTGGTTCAACATATCGAATGCAAATAAAACCAGGAACCATTTCACAGCCCAGCAACTTCCTCAGCTTTGGGCAGCCAAAGGAGCTTGAGCATTAAGCAACGTGAAGTCAAACCAGGCAGGTGAGCTTGCAAGTACTCACCGTACTGACTGGCATCAAAACATGTAAATGGCGATCCAAGAACTTCAACGAAATATCCCATACTTCTCAGATGCTGGTACATATCCCGGAAGTTTGTGTGGATGTGGTCACCATTCCTAAGAAGATGAAGAAAGGGAAATATGTCACCCTATTTTCAGTCAGGATGTTTTTATAAAGGCCGTGTGTTCACATGTCTCTGGTTTTCCATCCCTAAGCCCAGTGGCAGATATGGCGGAAAGGAGTTCAAATTGGAATGTAATATAAAAATATAAAATATATATGTAATATAAAAATGTTGTTGGACTCCAACCCCCATCACCCCTGGCCTGTATAGTCACAGAGGATGGGAGCTCCAGCCAAACATATCCAGAGGAGCAAAGCTGTCTATCCATTTTAGAATAAGAGTTTAAGGGTTGCTTTGGGTGTGGGTTTAGGGACGCTGCCCTGCTAGGAAGTAAACCTCTGCCCCAGTCCTACGTTCCTGGCAGACCAAAATGGGTTTTCCTCTAGAACTGCCCCCTTTGGCTCCACCTGACTTGCCCTCCATCCTAGCCAGTGTCCCAGTCCCTGTCAAGCATTCCAATAATATGCTGCTACCACGCTTACTGTGGGGATGGTCTTCTCAGAGCAATGAGCAGTGTTGGCTTTGCGCCACCCACAGTGTGTTGCGGCACAGCAAGAAAGCTAGATTTTGGTCCCAAAAGACCAGAGAACCTTCTTCCACGTGCATATTGAGGCCCCCACTTGCCATCTGGCAAACTTCATATGGGCTTTGATATGCGCTTGCTTCAAGCAATGGTCTTCTTCTTGCTATGCTTCCATAAAGCCCCGATCTGAAGTCCATGTTATAGTTGTCCCATGGGTTCTCCCATCCGAGTTGTGCTACTTCTGTGACTTGTGGGCTTCTCTAAACACCTTCCTTACCTGCCTTGGCAGGACTATGGTTGAGCTATGCTCTTTCCAATTTGGAATAATGGATTCAACGGTGCTCCAAGGAGTATTCACAATTTGAGTTGTTGTTTTACAGTATAATCCAACCCTGGTGTATGTTGTCCACAACTTTATCCTAGAGTTGCTTTGATAGCTCTCTGGACTTCATGATGGTGCTTGTTTAGAAATGCTCTGGGAGAAACACTTTCAGAAATCTAAGCTCCTGACACTGGAGACACCTGACACAAGAGGTTCCTGGGGACACCTTTCAACTACTTGTAGCAGATGAATTTTGGAGATGGTGGGTTGCACCACAGTTTGCTTAGGCAAAGGGGGTGAGTACTCCTGCCAACAGCAAATGCCAGTTTGTTTTTGTCAACCTTTGTGCACAAATAAATGTGTTTTCCACCTTCACAGTGTATACGTCTTCTGTGTATCAAATGGTAACAATGGCAATTAAATCAAGTTCATTCATTACATTTATATCTGACCCTTTTTCCTTTTCAAGGAACTCAAGGGGGCCGACATCATTCTCCTCCTCCTCTCAATCTTATCCTCAAAGCAACAACCCTGCGAGGTAGGTTGGGCTGAAAGAGGTTTTAGAGAGGACCCAGTGAGCTCCATGGCTGAGAGGGGACTATAATCCAGATCTCCTGAGTCCCACCCCAGCGTTCTTAACCACAACACCACACTGGCTCCCCAGTTCCAAATTGTAACACAACAACATACAGAGAGGCCAAGGAAGAGGTGAATGCTTCTGCAAGGCACTGCATTTGAGCATTCCAGAACAGTCCAGACATGATGAGCCAGACCCATTTTCCTTCTTAGTCCAGCCGGAACATTGCAGATGCATTGATGGACCAGACACCCATAAGCCTCAGTCTCAAGTTCATAATTTGCCCATAAACTACAGGAAAGATGGGCACAATTGGAAATCCTCAGAAAAGAATTGCTCTTTTTTTTCCTTTGTCAAGGTTATTGCATGTCATTAATGGTCACAGCTTGGCATAAAGATAAACATACCAATCTAAGGGATCATTCTTCATCCTCAAATTATCCCTTGGAAAGTACCCTGGCGGATAGCGGAGATTGTGATACTGATCCCAAAGAACTCGCTTGCTACGAGGGGGTGTCGGGATAACTTTCACTTTTATTGGGAGTTTCACGGTGGATGTTTGTTCCGCGCCAGCTTTTGACTGAAAGAAATGAAAACCAAAAGAAACTAATGACAGTGGAATTCCTCTTCTCAAAAGAACCCATTTTACAGCTACTGATCTCTGTTACAGTATCCAACCAAATACATTGCATCACACCCGCTACCCACACTGTCCCCATAGTGCAAAGAATTTGGGACAGGAACCCAGATCACTTCCGGGGGCAACAAGCCACCCTAACAACCCATGGCTTGTTGCGCTCCATGTTTTCCACATTTCCCAAGTCTCTAGATACCTAGAAATGGAAGGTGTGCATTCCACCACCCTTTCTGCAAACACTTACACCTGTCAACATTAAGTGTTCTTTTAAAATCTCTGAGCATTTTGGGGTGGATGGTGGAGACAGGGAAACATGCAGGCAGGAATTTGACATATATTTCCCTGCCCCAAAAGGCTCAAATGTGCCAGACAAATTCGTTATCAAAAGTAAGTGCTCACGAGAAGGAGGCTGGATGTAAATTTCCCCTTTCTGAAGGCTTGGGGGAAAAGGGAAAAGGTGGAGGGCACTGAAAACTGTCAGGGTAATACTTAAAAACTGGAGGATCGCAGTGTTAAGGGGCAGATATACCCACTACCCGTTTTGGGCAAAACCTTCTTTGCCACTTCGCTTTTCAACTGGCAGCTATCAAGTGCAAGCGAAGTAGCCCACATGCATTCTCACTCGGCCAGCCTCCGTGGATGCCGGCCTCTGCAATTTGACGGTAGACACTTGCCAGGGCATTGGCCATGCCAGCCCCCACATTTTGGGCAGCCATAAGCATGCACTTCCAAAAGACTGAACAGTATCAATAGCAGTACTAGTTGAAGCTGCACCGCAGGAATATGCAGCCGTTTCTGCCCATGATATCAACGACGTCTACATACATACCAAAGCCAGCTAATGTAGGCGGAGTGAGAGCTCTTGAAGAGGGTACACAACAATGGAGAAGCATTTATTAAACCACATCAGGAGGAGTCAGATTTACCTCGTTCTCTGCAGGGGAAGAGATGGTGAGCATGACATGTCCTTGTGCGATGCCTTCCCAAGAGGCCGCTTTCTTCGCCACAGAAATAGAAATGGCTAAGTAACCAGACCAAGGCCAGAGAACGGGAGAATAGGAGAAAGCCACTTCAATGTAATCTCCATTCTGTGGTAAGTATGGTTGCCAGTCAGGCTGCATGGCAGAAAGAGGATGCGTTTGATGAACACGTGATGAACAGCCGGAAGGAAGGAAAGAAAGGCAGTAGCTCTTACACATTGCAGAAGCTTCTTTACGCCGTTATGCCCATAACCCAGTGATAAGACTGTGGTTTGTGAATCAGGAACCAGGCCCGAGAATGGGAATTCCCTACCGAATCTCTGACAGGGATTCCCCCCTTATCCATCACTTAATGTCTCCAACAGAGGCAAAATATGGTGAATGCTACCCAGGTTACATGCAAGGAAGTTTCACTGGAGACCAAGGTCAAGATCATCCACACTATTTTATTCCTCATCACTATGTATGGGTGTGAAAGCTGGACAGTGAAGAAAGCCAACAGGAAGGAAACTGATGCAGTTGAAATGTGGTGCTAGAGAAGAGCTTTGTGAATAGCTTAGACCGAAACAAGAACAACAAGTGGGCCCTTGATCAAATCAAGGCAGAACTTTCCCTGGAAACAAATGAGGGTGTCATACTTTGGACACCTCATGAGAAGGCAAGACTCACCAGAGAAGATCATCATGCTAGGGAAAGTTGAAAGCAGAAAAAGAAAAGGAAGGCCAAATAAGAGAGACTCCACAAAGCTATAAACCTTGAGTTTACAAATAGTGATGGGCAGGAGATACTGGAGGGCTTTCATTCCTAGGGCTGCCGTAAGTTGAAGATGACTTGATAGCACATCACGGTAACAATCAGGGGCACGTCTGAGCAAGGATGTGAGAGAGGCCTGGAATGTTTTTGGCATTCACCTCAGTGGCTTCAAAGGACTTACATCTCTGTGAATGTTCAAGGGGACTGGGTTTTTTCCTGCACAAACACATTTAGGATCAGCTCATGCTGCCTGCTAATCTTGCCTACTGGAGAACAATGACATCTGCCCTTCTGTCTGCGGAAGGCTCAGCCCCTGCAGGTCCTACCTTGTCGATGATTCTTCCAGTGACTCCCATTCCATTAAGAATAGTAACATTCACAATTGTTGGCATGCCACCATAGTAGATAGGCTGGGAACAATATGGCCACATGTAAGGGCATTCCGTCAAGTCTATGTAGCTGGGACTCAGGCTAAACAGTCAGGGGGAAAAACCATCATGTGGATGCATAAATATGCTGTGAAAGCTAACATATGAATAAAAATACTGTTCGTTCGTTCGTTCATCCCACGTAAAACCTGGGGTTTTGAAATTGACAAATCTGGAAAATATTGTGCGAAATCAAAGAAGTTCTTATTTTAAATCAATATGGCTAGAAAGGACAATAATGCAGACAGAAAATGTTTTTAAAGAAAAATGCACAGAACCTGAATAACTAATAGGTGGACTATAGTTAGTATGTGCATGAGCATGTGCGCACACGCATCCCTCATTTTATCTCTCTCCCTCCCTGCATCAGACTGAACTAATCTTAATAAACGGGTATTACAAATGGTTTTCACACTCTAAATGTGAGACAACTGTTTGTTAAAAGCAGTTTAAAGCTGAGCTTCACCCAAAGAAATACCACTGTGGTATAGAAGGGACATTAACTCTAAAATAAATTACAAATAAAAAAAAGGTTAAGGTTTCCCCATAACATTAAAGCCCAGTCATGTCTGACTCTAGGGGGCAGTGCTCATCTCCGTTTCCTGGCCGAGGGAGCCAGCGTTAGTCCATAGACAGTCTCCGTGGTCATGTGACTAAACACCAGGGTGCACAGAACGCTGTTACCTTCCCATCGAAGTGGCACCTGTTTACCTACTTGCATTTATAGGCTTTCGAACTGCAAAGTTGGCAGGAGCTGGGACAAGGCACGGGAGCTCACCCCATGTGCAGATTCAAACTGGAGACCTTTCGATCAACCAGCCCAGCAGCTCAAACCACTGTGCCACCACATCCCTAAACCATCCAGCAAAACTATAAAATAATAAGGAATAAAAGCTACACAGCAGAGTAACCATAAAGCAATCTCTAAAGTTAAAATACTTGGGCATATAAGTAAGCTTTCACCTAGGGCTGAAAAAACGGCAAACTTTGCTCTCCTGGGTTTTCACATAATGTCTCAGCTGATGCAAGGGAGCTGTGAAGCTAACAGGCAGGGGGGCCCTTGGCTGGGAGCCACCCTCACGGCTGCAGGTACCATCTCAGTTTACCAAAACTGCAACAGGTCAGCTTGCACAATGCAACTACTCCACTGTGGATGATTTAAGACATGGTGATGTTGCAGGGCGGGTGTGGTATCTGGGGCTGCCATTTTGCATATCTACACCCTATCAGGGTTTGTTGCAGAAACTCAGGAGGCATGGTTTGCTTGACAGGGCAATGCCCAGGTGTGGGTAGAGACACAAAGTGGCCCTCGGGGCAACGAGGCTCCTCCTGAGCTAAATAACCCTTGATAAGCCGCACTGAGTCTTCCGAAGCAGATCTGTCCCAGGCATTCCATCATGCCAGGGCGCTTCAGGTTGAAACACACAGTCTTTTAACCTGCGGTGCCACAAAATGACAGAACTTCCCAGCACTGCATTTTGGGAAAACTAAGACAGCGGCCGCAACTGCGATCTCTTGGGTCAGGGTCACCACTCAGACTGAACCCCAGCAGCTGCCCAGTAGTACCAGGAGGTGGCCTGGGGCCTATGTGCTCCCTGGCAACTGGACTGTTAGGAAGCCTGACCACTGCTGGATGATCAGTATGCGCAGCATGGAGAACAAGGTAAGCGCCAAGAATACAGATACTGTCCACTTCTGGTTTGGAGGGGATGGGAAACTTTATCAAGACTGTTGTCAATACTTCCTACTCCTTTTTTTTTTAAAAAAGGGAGTTTCCAAGTTGGCTTTATCATCATGAAGGCATTTAATATACTAAGCAATAATTAAAGACCACATGATCTTATCTGCAATCTTCATTAAAAGCGAGAATTGCTTTGCATCTTCTTCAGAGCTCTCAGATACATTTGCCTTAAGCATGAGCAAAGAGCTTTAATTACAGAAGTTGTGCATAGCCAGAAAAAGCAGGTGCCAATTTAAATTAATGTTATCCTTGCTTTGTTGAGTGGCAGGTATTTTCTTGGCTGAATTCCTCTTTTAACATTTATTTATTTACTTAACAGTATTTCTCTATTATGTCACATCCAACTATGAAGCTTCATTCTGAGACCATTGTTGGGTTTTTAAGCGACCTCACCTGGCCTGTGGCTTGTAACTGTTGAGAATCTGATAAGCTCTAAGGAGATCCAGCTTGCCATGTCCCTGCTCAAACATGTTAACTCCAGGCAGCCGGCGTGCGGATGCAATCAGAGCCTGTTTCATACTGGCTGGATTCACCATTTCACGCTTCTGAACTGTGCTAAAAATGGGAAAGAGGCATGATGTTATATAATTAAGCAGGCACTGCCATGAGCTGATAGAGGTAAGGTGCCCAAATACCACCCTCTAATTTGATGGTACATCTGCTCAGAATAAGGAATTATTCATTTTAGAATATGGAATTTAAGGACATAATACCGCTTCCTACAATCCTACAATCTGATTGTATGCATATTTACTCAAAGTTTGAAAGAATTAAAATGTGTTATATTCTAACTCTTTACAAGAGTTCTAGATTTGTATACATTTAGTGCACTAAAACATCAAAGCCTCTTTCTACAAATCTTATAAAGAATATAAAGGGAAATATATGTTAGATAATTCTTTATATTACAACTGTAATTGCAGAAAAACAGTAAGATGAATGAGTCAAAGCAACGAACATGCTTTGTAAAAACAAATCCCATCAGCACCGGGCAGCATAGGAAAGATGCAATTAATTTCAGACAGCAAGACCCCTTGAACTCAGTACTACATAAGAAAGGAACTTTAGACTGACAAAGCTCCCCAAGAAACCCTTTGCATTTGAATACTGTAGTGTAGCAACTCAGAATCTGAGCTATAGCAATCAACCAGGATATCCCAACTTCAAAGCTCACTTGATCACAAGCTCTCCTCTTGCCTTAAAGGATAATACTGGCCTATTTTAGAAGGATGCTTAAGGATTGCTACAATCACCCAGGTGAAATGCTTTCAGCACTCAAAGCAATGAGCATTGCTTATGTATTTATAGTGGTACCTTGGCTCACGAACGTAATCCGTTCCAGGACTCTGGTCGTGACCCAAGTCAAATTTTCCCGTAAGGTTCAATGTAAATAAGGTTAATCCGTTCTGTAAATATACTTTTTAATCACAAAAATTTGAAACGAAGTAACAAAGAACAACAAAGTAACAAAATTGAGATCAGAGGAATCTCAGCCCTTCCCCAGAAACCCTTCGTGAAGGATATTAGGAGGGTAAGTACTCAGAGGGCTTTCTCTGTGGTGGTGCCCAATCTATGGAATGCACTCCCCAGAGAGGTCCGCCTGGCGCTGTCGTTATTTGTTTTTCGGTGCCAGGCGAAGACCTTTTTATTTAAACGTCATTTTAATTGCTAATATTATTTATTTTACATCTTTGGTCAGGTCATCTCAAATTATATTGTTTTATATTGTCTTTATATTGTTATTATTTATTTATTGTTGTGAGCCGCCCCGAGGCTTCGGCGAATGGGGAGGCATAGAAGCTTCCTGAATGAATGAATGAATGAATGAATGAATGAATGAATGAATGAAAAATAGTACAGAAGAGAACAATAACCCAGGTTGTGGGGAGGTTATTATTTGGCGGGAGAGTCCAAACTATAATCGTGCTATAGCAATCATGCTGGGGTGGGGGGGGAGACGGGTGTGATCATGGACGTGCTCAGGGAGAGATGGGTGCGATCGCGGGTGCACTTGTGCAGGGAAGACAGGCACGATTGTGGTTGTCATCCAGTGCGGAGTTCACGAACTGAGGCAATTTTTCTCTGAAATTTCTGTTTGCAACCCAATTTGGTCATGAACTGAGGCATTCGTAAGCCGAGGTACCACTGTATATCACTTACCCCATTACTCAACATATTACATGTATATACCCTATATATTATACCATCTTATTTGCTAAAGGCTGATTGTAAAGCTTTAATTCCAGAAATGGGCACCAGGGTCTATGTCTCTTTGTTTCCAGAAGTGGGCACCAGGTTCCACAGGGTATGCACGGAAAATTGCCTGGCTCATTTGAAGCTTAATCACTGGAACTGGGATGTCACCATTGAAACAAATGCTTCTTGCAGCTGCCTTGTCCCTGAACACTTACCTTACTAAGAGAGTGACAGCACCAGCCACGACAGGGGAGGCCACGCTGGTCCCGGAGAGCGAGCGGCACCCACCCTTCATACCAGAGCCTCTCACGCCGGAGCCGTAAGTAACTATGTCAGGCTTCACCCTACCATAACCTCCAGGCAGTTCCTTGGGAGGGAAACAAAGGGAGAGAACGACTATGTATGTACCGATGCAATGACTTCTAACACATTGGGCAGATGCTCCTCGTCCTTAAGGGGCTCAGCACTGTCACAATTTTGGACGTTCTGAAAAGGCAGACACTTCCAGGGGGACCTCGGGATGCAAGCCAGGCTTCCATGGTCTGCCGCAAGCAAGACCGCTGCTCGTCTGCTGTTTAGAGAAAGCTCTTCTGGCGTGTGTGGAGCGAAAACGGCACAGACAAGTCCACCTGTGGTTGCTGCTTCAACAGCATCCTGAGTCAACTGGAGCAGGCACAGCGGCTAGCGAGGGCAGCACGCGGCAGACTGCAAGCTGAGACTGCACAGGCAACAAGGGGGCTTGCGCCCGGCACGATGGCGCGTCCAAGAGAAGCACTTTCTTTTCTTCCGCATACGTGACTTGCTAACATTCCTTCCGCGGGGGAAACGAGAGACACTGCATTCGGGAGAGCTGCTGCAGTGAGGAAAGCACCTCAACGTCGGGTGGCGCATGGCGGTCTACCGACACACAAGCCCTCTTGTGGCGATGCCGGCCATTTCCCTAGTCATGAACTAACCAGCCTCAGCCACTCAGAATGATTTTCCAGGGCTGTATGCTGGATTTATTAGGTGACATTGTAGCCCATGGCAAAGACACAGGCCAAGATAAAAAAAGTGAAATGTCCATCATGGGGAAAGGAGGACCCTGCATGGCAAGGGCCCCAGGGCATTTCTCTGGGGGCCATGTAGAATCTTTGTCAGAGAACAGAAAAAGAGAGTAAGTTCTCTGCCTGAGCCTCCCAAATCAAGCCAAAAGGTGCTTGGACTTTGCACTGAACTCCACTTACTCATTTAATGGGCATAAATTGAATTTCATATTATTTGAATAAATCTGCAAAAGAATTGCTTGATGAGCTTGGGGGAGGGGGAAACACACCTCTTAATGCACTTAAAAACAAACACCATGTAATTTGCTGGGCCTCTTTCTATCCCCTCCCCCCCCCCGCCCCGTGCAGGTGTGTCACTTAGACCAAAGGTGCTCTGCAAAGGTGCTTACCCACGTGGTCATTCCCCTTGAGGAGAACCGGGCAATGTTGTCTTCAAAGTCAATGCCACCTACTCCAATCACGTCCATCTGATCAGCAGGGTTGTTGAGCGTGCTGAAAGGAGCATTTGCACTTGCCTTTATTTACTGCCCACCTCTTTCCAAGGAGACCAAGAAGGCAGACATAGTCTTCACTGCCCCATCATGGTTTGGTTTGGTTTGGTTTTTAATCCTCAGGTGAGTTGGGTCTTCCCAGTCCTGGTCTGGTATGTCAGACAAGAACGAACTGGTTCCCCAAAAAGGGAGAGACATTTCCCCAGATATTTGCAAAACAAGCAAGTTCGTAAAATAAGCTATTGAACATTAAAGCAGACATTCCCCTCAAAACGAATGGGACTAATCAAAGAGAGATTTACAGGGCAAACCTATGTAGGTTTACCCAGAAGTTAGTCTCATTGTGTTCAGTCAAGATGAGGGTGTTCGTGGTTGCAGCAGGAGCCTGGCAAGTTAGTCAGGGCTAATTAGTGCCAAGTGTTTCAATGGAGCTTAAGCACCACTCAATTTCTCCATAGTTAAAACACCGTTCCTGGAGGCAAATGTTTTATAAAATCATCATCCCATTCATATTACTACATGAGCTCTCACTCAAAAGATTGTATTCCTGAAGTGAAGAGAAAGCTAGTTTATTTTAAAAGAAGGGCCCCGTTTGCCAAGATTACTCCTAAAAAAGGGAGATGAGAAAAGAAGTTTTACTTCGGAAGGGGAAAAATGCTGGAAGTTCTTAAAAACCCCCACAGCATTAGCCAAATATTGTAAAAACACTTACCCATATAAAGGACCATCATTGCCAATAGCAGAGACCATGATCACATTGTTGGCTGTCAGCTCCCATACCTAAAGGATTAAGAAATTCAGAATTTTAAATCCTGTTGTCAAGCAGTGGTATCGGAGGAGCCCTGACGAGCCATGAGACCAAGGCCCACCCAGCCCAGCATCCTGTTTCCTGTGAGGCCCCACCAGATGCCCCAGTGGAAAGTCCACAAGCCGGACAGGATTTGAAGCAGGCCTCTCTCTCAGTCACTCCCCAGCAACTAGGACTGGCAGGGATGCTGCTGTGGCAGTCACCAAACAGGGTAGCCAGGAGCCCTGGCTAGCTTTATTCTCTACAAATATGTCCAAACACTCTCTCAAGCCATTGTAGCCAACACCGTATCCTGTGGAAGCAAATGTCTTAGTTTTACCATTCATTTTGTAATGAGAGGCTTCCTTTTTCTGACATCCATCTCCTAGCACTCAGATTCATTGAACAATCTAACTTCTAAGGCGATGAGAAGAAAGTTTTACCTTGTCCATTTGTCTGCACGACACAACTTGATAACCTTCTACCATTTCTTCCTCAATTGCCCTTTTTCCTAAACTAAATGCTCAAATTTCACAATGTTTTAATTCAAGCAGGGCTCTAGCATTTAAGATGGTCTATTGCTGAAACATTTTTATTTAGTTGGTTTTGTTTAACTCTTTGATCACAATATTATGTTACATTTAACATTTTGTTCTTAATCTGGATTTTATTGTTAGCTGCTCTGTGCACCACTTTTGGTAGAAAGGCCAGATGGAGAATGAATGAATGAATGAATGAATGGTCAGCCTTCTCCATACAGGTAGCCTTTTTTGATCTGGTTCCTATTGGTATAATTAAGCTTCTGGAACAATATTCTGTTTATCCTTCCCCCATTCATACAAACCTTGTCAACAAAAGGATGATCCATGAAGTCTGGGCCTCCAATACTTAGGTTTAATACATCTATCTTCTTCAGGATGGCATAATTAAAAGCATCCAGAAACCAAGATGTGTATGAGACCTACATATACAGAAAATTCTGATTAACACTAAGTAATGCAGGCAAAAGCAAAATCACAAAAAACAGGCTTCTCCTCCCAGTTGCATCCCTGAACAGAATGCTCAACAAAAGCACATGAAAAAATAAATTTTCCCTTCAGGGATAAAATGTTAAAATCCTAATTTTACCTCCGAAAATATTAGACTAGAATTATAATGTCCTGCCCTGCTGGGAGCCAAATTTTTTAAAAAATTAAAATTGTTGTTGTGAACTGTCCCGAGATGTTTGTGATGGGATGATATACAAAAGAGACAGACAGACAGACAGAAAACAACAGCCATTTCAGAGTTAAATTAATGTGAATGCTTCAGAATGAAAGCTCACAACAGTTGTGCCATTTAACAGTAGGTTTATTTATAACAGCTCATTCCAGAAAAATTAGAAAGGGTCCAGAGGAGGGCAACAGAAATGATCCAGGGTTTGGAAACACTGTCTGTGAGGGCAGGCTGAACGAACTGGGCGTGTTCAGCCTTGAGAAGAGAAGGCTGAGGGGGGACATGAGATCCCTCTGTAAGTTCCGCAAAGGCTGTCACAGAGAGGAAGGTCAAGATCCCTTCTTGCTGATGCCAGAGTGCAGGACATGGAAAAATCAACTCAAGTTGTGACAATCCAGATTCAGGCAAGATATCAGGAAGTTTCCTCACAGTCAGAAAAATATGACAGTGGAACCAGCTGCCTGGAGAAGTGGTGGGCTCTCCCACACTGGAGACATTCAGAAAGAAACTGGACAGCCATCTGAGTGGGATGGTGTGAATTCATGCCCTGCAACAGCAGAAGGCTGGACCTGAGGGCCTTCAGGGCTCCTTCCAACTCTACTATTCCATGATTCTATAAGAAAACATGCAGCATACCTGGCTGTTGGTGAAGACTCTAAATATGTGCAGTTCTGAGTCTGGAGCAAACCCTTGGCATTCTCTCATGCTAGCTATCACTCCTGCTACGAAAGTACCATGACCCAGGCCTGAGGAACATAAACAGTAGGTTTATAATTCTTTACAGATAGCATGGATAAGTAGCCTAAGAAGACTCCGGGGATGGTGGAGGACATGAAGGCCTGGAGGAGTGTTGTCCATGGGGTCGCGATGGGTTGGATGTGACTTCGCGAATAACAACAATTGTAAACCCCAAGGCTGGATCAAATTTGTTGGGCTAAAGCAGCCTTCCCCAACCTGGTAGCTTTCAGAAGCATTTGAACCACAACTCCCAGAATTCCCATCCAACAGGGCCACTGAGTATGAATTCTGGGTTTTGCCTTCCAAATGTGCCTGGAAGGCACAAGGCTGGGGAAAGGTAACTTGGGAGACTTCAAGGCCTTGCAGATTAGGTCAGTTACCTGGAGAGTCAGACATAGCATTCTAGCTTCCCCTTTCCATCAACACAGCATGCAACTGAGAATGCATTTTGTGCAAAGCAAACCCTGTGAATGAAATAATTAAATTCACCATCATCCAAGGTTCTCTCGTTAGTCCAGTTCGTCCTCTCCTTTACATTCTTGAAGTGTGGATGTTTCTCACTCAATCCAGTGTCAAAGACAGCCACTCTTACCCCAGCACCTATTGGCACAAAAGAAGATTTAAAAAATTACAAGCCATAGAGATCTATTTCTTAAGGTATGAATAAACATGAATAGTTGCAGTTGTACTGTGCTCATCAAAATGTCTTTTTCTTCTTAGCTGTCTAGCAACTAACAAAAGGCTTCTTAAAAAGGAACAACACATTTATCTAATTTACTGATTCTACAAAAAGACTTATATTCAGAAAAGTTCAGCAGGTTCTCATTTACAGGATATTTACTGTTTTATACTGACTGGGTTTGTACAACTTGGCAACCCACTGTGGATTATTAGCCATGGCAGGCTGGCATGTGGCCCAAACCTAGCCTGTTTCCTGAAAAGCATTTTGTCTCTGGGCAACAACCCTGCTAGAAAACCAAGGGGAAAGCAGTGGAGACAATCCACTGTCTGTTGGGTCTGGCACAGGTTGTCCCATGACCAATCCACACTGCATAGCTTATACGCAGCATGAGTTACCATGTCGAGGGAACTCACCCTTTGTTAACATTATGAAATATTGCAATCTCTTTCCATGTTGAGTGGCCAAGCATTCTTGAAAAGAGTATAAATACAGATAGAGGCTAAGTAGTCCGATGTCATGCAATAATAAATAAATATCCATATAAAACTTTGACTTCACTTCTGGATAATCGCTATCCCTCACAGAGAATTGAAGCAACTGCAAGACTTGCTGGCTGGTAAATGTAAGAGCTGCAGTCCAACGTAACTGGGAGGCATTAGGTTGGAGAAAGCAGCGCTGTACTAGCATTACATTAATTCCACATGGAATCCCGGGGACTGTCATTTGGTGAGGATGTGTGATAAGCCTAGCCTTTCCCACTTGCAAGGTAAATACACCCCTCAGTTCTTTGTGGAGGGATAACAGCTATTGGACCAGTCTAAGTCTGTGGTGCAAATTACTTTACAGAACACAAAACCTCTGAAGATAGTTCCAGTGGCATACCTTTTAATTATGGGACTGCTCTCCCATACCCAATCATAGCATTGGGAAAATAACTAATGCCAAACAATGAGGTGATCTACTAAAGCGTTCAAATACATCCTCTCCATAATTACAAACAGGAGCCATGATTTTCAGATGACATCTGAGTTTGAGTCCTCACTCAGCCATGGAGCCAGTCACAGACTTTCAGCCCAATGTACCTCACAGGACTGTTGTTGTGGGGAGAAGACGGAGAGCAGGAGCAGAAGAATGCTGTCAGATGCTTTGAGTCCTTAAGAAAAAGGCAAGATATGAATCTAAGAAATAAACAGAAGAATACCTGTGAAGCCCATTTGCCAGAGCACATCCGCTTGCAGTGTCTGAGCGACCTGGCGGGGGATGGCCCTCAGCAAACGTCTGCTTGAGTGCCTGCCCGTTGCGTGCCAAAATCCAGAACCCAGAGACAAACTTGCCCTTCTCAGGGGACGAGATGACTGCCACTTTTGTGTCCACCTGGTATCATTGCAGGGAAATGCCGGATCAGCTGGATATTTGGAAATAGTTTAAAATGTTCAGAAATCATGTATAGATACACATACATAAATATAAAATAATGCACACAATGCTGGTCTTACTGCAAACTGTCCTGCCCTTTTGTTCCATGGAAGGCAAATCAATAGCTAAGGGTTAAATTTGAACCCCTTCTGGTATAGTGGTTAAAATGTCTGATTGAGACTCACAAGTCCCAGGTTCAAATCTCTACGCTACAACCAGTTCTTCTGTGTAGGAATGCTTGGGAGAAATGCCAGACGGGAGTCTAGCCTCAGACTGACAAAAGGTGGAGCTTGCTTTAGGAACAGATGCTGGATTAAGGCGAAGCATGGCAGCCCCCCAGAACTGTACTAAGGGTTCCACTTTGCACATGAAGATATTGGCGGCTAAGCTCATAGCCCTGGCCAGAATGAAGGAAGTCCCAAAAGTGAGCAAATGACTGAACAAATGAACCAACTTACTCCCTGTGTACTTGAGTGAGCGAAAGACTTTTCTTTGGGGGGTAACACGCTTGATATTGGGATGGTCCTCGAGTGTCTGCACACCATCTTTCTGCTTCTCGTTGATTTGGATCACCTCAAAATCACTGGGGTAGTCACTGGCTGGGTTGTTACGGGGTACAATCCTCCAGTTCTCAATGTCACTGCTCTTCAGTGCCCGTGAAATAAATTTACTTCTTGCTTGGGCTGAAAAGTAGCCATTGAAAGCTACAATATATTCTGCAAAGAGGACCATTGTACATTAGAAAAGGCAGACACGCAGGAAACATAAAACAACATAATAAAGGGAATAAAATGTGAAGTAGATTTAAAAGAAAAACATTCTGAGTACCTTTAGATGATGAAGTACAGATCACAATAGGTAGTACAATGGAATGAACCACGTCTGTAATTATTTTTATTTATAATTGTTATATTTTTTTGAAATGTTATTTTTGGAATTTGAACCCCACTGCTCTATTTAAGAAGGTACATTCCAGGCCATGGTCTCAGTTTCCACGGTGAGACAGCGAGGCCCCAAAGGAAATGGCACCTCAGATAAGCAGAGTGAGCATGCTAGAAAATCTGTAGTTCATAGTCAAGTCACAATAGTTTGCAGTGCCGCCTTCCAATGTACTAAAATAACCCTGGCTGGCTCAAGACCTGTTGGCTCCTCATGTTATTTTGGCTCTCCAGATAATGCCACAAGCACCTCGGCCAGGGAAGCAAAAATACAACTACAACACCAATAATTAAAATAGTTAGCAATGTGCTGCTTTCTCATGCAAGGCAAAGTCAGTGTCCAGGGGCCGCTGCCGCACCCTACTACCCTGAGCTCTTTGCAAGGGAAGAGCAGGATAGAACTCAAATAAATACAGTAGTCCCCCGAAATTCGTGGGGGTTATGTTCCTAAAGCACCCGTGAATTGTGAAAAACCGCAACTGTGGTACCGGCAATGGGCGTCAGCCGCCAAGGCAGTACGGGCGGGAGGCACGGGTCGGTCCAGGCTGGGGGGCAGGCAGGCGGGCATGCAGAGATCGTTTTCTCCGAGCGAGTCCAAACTCGGAGGAAACGATCTCCTTGCAAGTAAGCCACCGCATGGCGAGGTGTTGGCTTACTCGCAAGGAGATTGGCTTGGACTTGCTCAGAGAAAAATCCCGCGAAAGACTGAAGCTGCAAATGCTGAACTGCGACTTCACGGGGGTATACTGTAAATAAGGGTGAGGACTAGTCTTTACAGCTATTCTTCTACTGTATTCTATTTTTAGAGGGAAAACCAGACAACACAGACACTTTCCAAGGACTACAGTAACATCTGTTGTGAATTACAGATTCATTACCGTGTTCCACGACGGTTGAAGAGAATTCCACTTTCAGTGTGAGACGGGAGCACTCAGGACAAAGGTGGCTTTCGTGAGAAGAATTCCCGAGTCTGGTTCCCCGGTGCTGTTTGCCACAGAGCAAGACTGCAGTCAGAAAGAACCAGATGTTTGCAAGCCTCATGGTCATGAAAGAATATGGTTTCATCTCCCAAATTCCATGGATTCAATTCATATGTTGCTTCCCCATGGATCAGTTCTCTTGCACACGCTTTTTGGTTTCAGAAAAGGGTACCTTTTTAAGTGGACAGTCTTAAGGTTTTGTCCAAGATAAGCAAAAGTCTTGCCTTCATGGTCTTTTCCAATGAAGCCTAATAAGCAGGCTCATTTCTTTCTACGCTTTTTCTCCATCTTTGAGGAAAGGATGCTATCACTCAGGATTCAACAGCTGAGTCCTGTATTCCATTATGGGTGGATGAAGTAAGGCCAAAGCAAAATTAGCCAAGGATCATTTTTCTGCTGTTAAAAAGAGAAACAATGAAATGTGTGAAAATATACAATATTGTATAAATCAAATATTTCCTAAGTTAATAAGCAGACAAATGGCAAGGGGACAAAAATAAACAATGCAATATTGCTTGTGGTAATGCAGTCTTTTTGTCTTCAACACTACTACAATTGAAACTGACTGCCAGTTCTTCATGAGGGACAATGCTCTTAAATACCACTCACCAGACTACCTACAGAATTGCCTCCATACAAACAAACAAGGAAGTTGTTGCACACTGAAAGGAGATAGCTCTTTCCTCCATTCATTCAAGGCTGATAAGGGGTCTGTGAATAGACAGACTGGTAACTTTCCTAGGCAAAATAGTCATTTAGCATCTGTGCCTGTTCCCTCATATCAGTCATTGGATCTCCTTCCTCCTTATTTAGTGGTCCCACCACTTGTCTCCCCTTCCTCTTCCTATTTACACACTTCCCTGATGTATAAAGCCACCCCCCACCCCTTTCCCTTCCTGTCCTTTCTAAAAATGTGATACCCTTCTATGTTCACATTCCAGACTTGCCTTTCATCCCACCAAGTTTCTGTGATTCCCACCAGATCATACCCTCCTATTTCCAGGAGAGCTTCAAGCTCTTCCTGCGTATTACCCATGCTCCTAGCATTGGTGTACTTGCACCTCAACTCCTTCCCACCACTTCACTTCCTTGGAGGTCCCAGCCTCCTCCTTCCTCCCATCCTCCCTGATACCTGGCCCCTCTCTGTAGGAGTCCTGTCAGTCCCGCAGTATCTCTAAAACCTGCTCCCAGAGCCCTGATCCTCCCCCCACACTTGTCCAGTGCAGACACGTTACTGGGGGGGCCTGAACC